AAAGGGACCCACAGCAAGACACATGATAAATAAATGTCAGAAGTTGAAGACAAGCAGACAATATTAAAAGCAGAAAGGGAAAAACAACTTGTTACATACAAGGGAACCCCCATAAGACTATTAGCAGATTTTTCAACAAAAACTTGAAGTCCTGGGACTGGCCTTGTGGTGTTGTGGTTAAGTGTGGCACACTCCACTTTGGTGGCCCAGGTTTGCACGTTTGGATCTCAGGCACAGACCTACACCACTCATCAACCATGCTGTAGCGGTGACCCAGTTACAAAATAGGGGAGAATTGGCACAGATGTTAGCTCAGGGCAAATCTTCCTCGGGGGAAAAAAAACTTGCAGTCCAGAAGAGATTAACATGCTATATTCAAAATGCTGAAAAAAAACACTTCCAACCAAGAATACTCTAACCAGCAAAGTTATGATTCAGAATTGGAAGAGAGATAAAGAGTTTTCCAGACAAGCAAAAGCTAAAGGAGTTCATCACCACTAAACTGGCCTTACAAGAAAGGTTAAAGGGACTTCTTTAGCTGAAAAGAAAGGGTGCTAATTAGGAACAAGAAAACAGATGAAAGTTGAAATCTCACTGGTAAAGGTAAATGTATAGTAAAGGTAGTGGCTTGATCACTTATAAAGCTAGTATGAGGGTTAAAAGACAAATGTAATAGGGTCTGACCCAGTGGCGCAGTGGTTAAGTTTGCACGTTCTGCTTTGGCGGCCCGGGGTTCACCAGTTCAGATCCTGAGTGCGGACATGGCACCACTTGGCAAGCCATGCTGTGGTAGGAGTCCCATGTGTAAAGTAGAGCAAGATGGGCACAGATGTTAGCTCAGGGCCAGTCTTCCTCAGCAAAAAGAGGAGGATTGGCAGTAGATGTTAGCTCAGGGCTAATCTTCCTCAAAAAAAAAAAAGACAAACATCATAAAAATAATTACAACAGTTAAGGGATGCACCAGATAAGAAGATGTAAAATGTCACATCAAAAACAAAGCATGGGGGGGAGAATAAAAATGTAGAGCTTTAGAATGTGGTCAAACTTGTTATCAACTTAAAATCAACTTTTATAAATATAAGTTGTTATACATAAGCCTCGTGGTAATCACAAAGCAAAAACCTATAGTAGATACACAAAAGATAATGAGAAAGGAATCCAAGCATATCATTAAAGAAAGTCATCAAATCACAGAGGAAGAGAGCAAGAGAAGAATAAAGGAATAGAGAAGAACTACAAAAGAGTCAGAAGACAATTAACAGAATGGCGGTAACTACATATCTATCAATAATTACTTTAAATGTAAATGGATTAAGTTCTTCAATCAAAAGACATAGAGTGGCTGAATAGATAAAAGAAACAAAAACAAAAAACTATATGCTGCCCACAAGACTCACTTCAAATTTAAGACCACACACAGACTGAAAGTGAAGATGTGGAAAAAGATATTTCATGCAAATGGAAAACAAAAGAAGGCTAGGGTAGCTATACTTATATCAGACAAAATAGACTTTAAAACAAAGTATAGTCAGAACAAAGAAGGTCATCACGTAATGATAAAGAATCAGTCCAACAAGAAGATATAACATTTGTAAATATTTATGCACCCAACATAGGAGCACCTAAATATTATAAAGCAAATATTAACAGATCTAAAGGGGGAAATAGACAGAAATACAGTAATAGTAGGGGACTTTAATATGCCACTTTCATCAATGGATAGATCATCCAGATAGAAAATCAATAAGGAAACATTGGCCTTAATGATACCTTAGACCAGATGGTCTAACACACACAACTTTCCATCCAAAAGAAGGAGAATACAAATTCTCTGCAATAAATGGTGTCAGGAAAACTGGATAGCCACATGCAAAAGAATGAAACTGGACCATTATCTTATGCCATACACAAAAAGTAACTCAAAATGGATTAAAGACTTGACTGTAAGACCTGAAACCATAAAACACTTAAAAGAAAATAGAGGCAGTAATCTCCTTGCCATCAGTCTTGGCGATGATTTTTTGGACCTGGTACCAAAAGCAAAGGCAACAAAAGCAAAAATAAAGTAAGACTACAGTCTTGTGCTACATAATGACATTTCTGTCAATGATGGACTGCATATACAATGGTAGTACCATAAGATTAGTACCATATAACTTAGGTGTGTAGTAGGCTATACTAACTAGGTTTTTCTAAGTACACTCTATGATGTTCACACAATGACGAAATCACCTAATGATGCATTTCTCAGAATGTATCACTGTCATTAAGCAACACATGACTGTACATCAAATTTAAAAGTTTCTATACAGCAAAGGCAACCATCAACAAAATGAAAAGGCATCTTACTGAATGGGAGAAAATATTTGCAAATCGTATATCTGATAAGAGGTTACTATCCAAAATATATGAAGAACTCGTATAACTCAATAGCAAAAAAACAAACAATTCAATTAAAAAATGGGCAGAGGATCTCAGTAGACATTTTTCCAAAGAAGACATACAGATGGCCAACAGTTACATGAAAAGATGCTTGACATCATTAATCAACAGCAAAATGCCAATCGAAATCACAATGAGATATCACCTCACACCTGTTAAAATAGCTATTATCAAAAAGATAAGAAATAAATGTTAGCGAAGATGTGGAGAAAGGAAACCCTGGTGCACTTTTGGTGGGAATGTCAATCGTTGCACCCACGATGGAAAACAGTATGGACGTTCCTCAAAAAGTTAAAAATAGAACTACCATAAGACCCAGCAGTTCCATTTCTGGGTGTATATCTGAATGAAATGAAATCACTCTTAAAGAGATATATGCACCCCCATGTTCATTGCAGTATTATTTACAATAGCCAAGATATGGAAGCAACCTAAGTGTCCATCAATGGATGAATGGATAAAGAAATCATGGTGTGTGTGTGTGTGTGTGTATATATATATATATATATGTATGTATGTATATATTCATATATGTCTGTGTGTGTGCACACAAACAATGGAATATTATTCAGCCATAAAAAAAGAATGAAATCTTGCCATTTGTGACAACATGGATGGACCTTGAGGGCATTATGCTAAGTGAAATAAGTCACACAGAGAAAGACAAATACCATATAATCTCTCTTATATGTGAAACCTTAAAAAAAAAAATAAAAGAAGGCTCATAGATAGAGAGAACAGATTGATGCTTGCCAGAGGTAGGGGTTGATGAAGTGGGTAAAGGGGGTCAAAAGTACAAACTTCCAGTTATGAAGTAAATAAGTCCTGGGGATGTAATGCACAGCATGGTGATTATAGTTAATAATACAGTATTGCATATTTGAAAGTTGCTATAAGAGAGTAAATCTTAAAAGTTCTCATCACAAGAAAAATAAATGTATAAGTATGTGTGATGACAGATATTAACTAGACATTGTGGTGATCATTTTGCAATATATACAAATATCAAACCATCATATTGTACATCCAAAACTAATATAATGTTATATGTGAATTATACCTCAATAAAACAGATAAATAATTAAGCAAAGAAAGAATAAAAATTATCCAGCAAAACTAGGTTCCAAGGTCAAGGTCATAGAGTTAGGTTATAAGCTTTCACTTCTGCAGCATGATCTTGGTTTATATACAACAAGCCTCTCTTGAGCTCTGCCCAGATTTAATCTTACAAAGAAGGTATTAGACTCTGTGTACCTTGTACTTTCTTAAAAAATTAATTAGTAAAACTTGCAGCCATTGAATGACTTCCATGAAAAGTATTAAATCATTGGGTGCCAAACATAGAAAGAGTTGATATGCAGACAAGAAAACCAATCTTCCTACCACACAGCAGAGTGAATGTCCATAATTGCTGTCTACGAAGAAGCGAGCTAATTCACACAGCTGGAGATGATAATCAGCAACTGCACTCCAAACTCTGGCGTCAGAGCAGTTACCATAGTGCAGCCACTCTCATTCTCATTTTACTTTTTTCAAGAAAGAGAAAAGGCCATTTTTTGAGTAAAAAGATATTTTTAGAAGAGGGATATTTATAAATCCTGGAATGGCAGAGTTAAGGCAGGAAGCTACAAGGGGAATAGAAATGAAATCATTTAAGAAATCTTTGGCATCACTGCAAATAGAGTTTAGTTATGACAGTATATGCCCTATCTATAAAATTAAAAGAAAAATATAAATATGTTGAGAAAGTTTTAGAAATTCTTAGCCTCTTGAAAATTGGAAAGAATGTTTCTGCTTCTCCTCCTTGGTTTCACATCCATTTCCATAAGGTACCTTATGTTGGCTTTTATCTCTGTGCTTCTCTAGAAGGCGACTGAAAAAAACCCTAAGGGCGTAGCTTATGTAGCTCAGTAAAACAGGTGCACCAAGATATTTTGACAAAACAAGGCACCATGTAATTTAAAGAAGTTGTTTTTATCATCCAGCTATGTTAATTTCTACTCTATTCAAAACACACAGAAAAATGTACTTTCCGTAAATGAAACTATCAGTGGAGAAAATGAGACCTTTAAGCATGTGAGAATATCTGTAAACAGTGATGAGTAAAAAAATTGAAGTTAAGAAACTTTCCTTATTGCTTTAGGTTTGTTTGTAATTTTAGTGGAACGAAAATGATGCAGGCAGAAGACAAATTTGCAGAAATCCAACTTATTTAATCTCCTAGGCATTGATGTGTACAAATTTATATCTTTTTTATGTAAACCATTCATCTCATTTAGATAGCACAGGGAAAGTAAGCTTGTGTGCTGCCTGAAAATTGTTTGTGGTAGGGGAAAGTGATTTGGGAGCTGGTTTGGTTAAACTAGCAGCCTGAAGACTGTTCATTAAATAGGTAGTATTACTAGTCCTGGAAAGTAAAACTAGTGAAGAGAATAAGATCACTAGTTATTGAGTTCGTTTGGTAAGTTTAACTATGTTAATATGTGACTGACATAGACATACATAACCGGAAATGCTCACCGGCTTATCCTCTGGTTACGGTGTCGTTCACCCTCCAGGAAGATACAGTTCTGAGAGTGACGTGTGGAGCTTTGGCATCCTCCTCTGGGAGACCTTCAGCTTAGGGGTCTGCCCGTACCCTGGAATGACAAATCAGCAAGCACGGGAGCAAGTGGAAAGAGGTGAGCCAAAGACATGGGGTAGTAGTGTTCTCCTCCTGCCTCCAGGGGTAGGGCTGACGCTGTGTCTGCAGCTTTCCTGGGGAGAGGAAGGTACATACTGGTTGGGTTTGTAAATAGAGAGCAGAGGTGTTGATAAATCTGCTTTTGAACTGCATGGATGGTGTGGCTCTTATACAAGAAAAACCAACAAACAAAGGAAAACTAAAAGATACTAACACTTTAAAAATAGAGTGCTATCGGCTTTTCTTCCACTCCCTCTGCCTCGCATGACATCGTCAAGGTTGTGCCATTCACTGTCTTCAAGGGTAACAGGGTAGTATTCCTCAACCTCCTATTTTTTATTTTATACCAAATAAACACCATTAATATTACTGCAAATTGAAATGTGGTTAGACTTCAGCAAGAGTTTTGGAGAATTTTATAACACTTCTGAAGATACCCAATGGTGTTCCCAGACCAGAGATTGGAATAAGTGGGTGATGGTGCCACCCGAGCATGCAGTTGTGTAGCCCACGGCTTTCAGCTGAAAGAATGCTTTTGAAAAAGTGGCAGTGCCGCAGCGTCAGGCCCCTCAGGAGGGGCGCAGATGTAGGAGGATGACTTTCTAGCTCGTTTCTACCTTCCTCTATCCCTCACAGACATTTTACTTCCTGAGGCAAACACACAGGCACTTACACACTACCCAGCACACTGCTGGAACACCACCAGACAACTTTGAATTAAGGATAAGAATCTTGGGGCCGACCCATGGCCGAGTGGTTAAGTTCACACCCTCCACTTGGGCAGCCCAAGGTTTCACCAGTTTGGATCCTGGACGTGGACGTGGCACCGCTCATCAGGCCATGCTGAGGCGGCATCCCACATAGCACAACGAGAAGGACCTACAACTAGAATATACAACTATGTACTGGGGGCCTTTGGGGAGAAGAAGAAGAAAAAAAGAAAGATTGGCAACAGATGTTAGCTCAGGTGCCAATCTTAAAAATAAAGAGATAAGGATCTTCTCAGACTGTAGAGGAATATAACTCATATTCATTTTTATTTAACTTTAAATTACTGTTTATAAAATCCTCATCCTTTCTTCATCTTCAAAAACCTGGGTTGTAGAGATGATTTTTAAAACTCTTCCCACAGCATCTAAAAGCAAATTCTAAAAGCAAATACTTAGAGCAACTAAAATATGCATTTTTATGTGATGTTATACATTTGTATGTGGTGTATCTTACATCAGATTTTGTAACAAACAAAAAAATGGGTTATTTGAACTAGAAGGTAATTCTATGGCTCTGTAATATTGAATTCTGTGTCACTTGTAGGAAAAAAAAAATCAGTTCACCCTGAAATAGATGTTTTGTTCCTGTTCCATGTAGAACATAAGATACCAAAATTTACAAACCGTGTAATGCTTTGTGTGAACATTTGTATCTTATCTCCGTTCTAAATTCTCTGTTCTCTTCTTGGGTCTTCAGGATACCGAATGTCAGCCCCTCAGCATTGTCCAGAGGACGTTTTTAAAATTATGATGAAATGTTGGGATTATAAACCTGAAAACCGCCCCAAGTTCGGTGAACTGCAGAAAGAGCTCACTGTCATCAAGAAGAAAATCACATAGTGACAGAAGCGCAAACAGCCTTCAGGACTCGGTCCTCTAGCAGAGTGATAGTGTTCTTCTCGTTAACAATGAGTTTATACCACGTTACCTGCAACAGTCTTCTAAGGTTATTTTTTTTATTAACTGTTTTTTAAAGTATGTGCCACTTTAAAAAAAAAAGTCAAAGGCAAGTGCATTCAAGAAACAGACAGTCCTGCCAAGGGCTTGTTTAGCTCACCACAGCAAGCCTGCCATTTCAGGCCGTTGTACATAGAAAAGCACAGCTCTAAATGAGAGGTGACACATCTCTCCTTTTCACACCAGGACCACTAATGTTTCTCCGAGGTTTCTACTTCAGGCACAGTTCATGGGCTGCTGTCCTATGCCACAGACCCTATTCAGTCGGTGCTATATGCTGCATTGGTAATGCCGTGTTTGCATGACACATTCCAACCAAAGTTGGCTTTCTGCTCTGCCAAGGCAAGGTCACTTTTGTAAACATCATTTTATATTGGGAATTATTTGGGCCTCCTAGGGTTTTTCTTTTCTTTCTTTCTAGAAATAATAAGCACAGTGTGAGAATCATCACATCCTTTATTGTTAGTAAGGCTGTCATTTCCCTCCTCCTTGGTCGGGGCATCAGAAAATGATGCATGAAACGTCCTCAGAGAGCACACCCTTAGAGTTGAGGCAACAGCTTTTAAAGGATGTTTTAGAGAGCTGTGACCACAAGAAGTCAGTATGAACAGGAGAGTGGTCTGGAGGACGGAGCAGCTAAAGTAGTGATCAGAGAGGAGAAAAAACAGAAAGTATAAAATCTGCTTTCTCATCAGAGTTATCCCTTTACACACACACACACACACACACACACACACCCTTTTTATTTTATGATCTGAATTCACGAGAAAGGTTTTAAGAAATGTTTTCAGGAGTTCGTAGATAGAGCCTTCTTAATGGCAACACGGTTTTTTTTGAAGAAACTGCAAAGCACAAGTCCATAGAAATAACAGGATACTTTTGGTTAAGTATCTTCCCTTCAGCGGAGATACCCCAGAATTTAATTCCCTTCATTTCTGCCAGTTTTCAGAGCTGTCATAATGTCATGATCCTAGTTCATAAACACATTCATGTGTGTACACGTGCACGTGTGCACACACACATACACTACCAAGAAGCAAGGCAGGTGTGAAAGGAGTAAACGGTTGAGAAATCAGATGAGCATTATTGAGGAGAAGGACATAGGGACAGCCCTCCTATTTCCCCTCTCCCTTTCCTTTACCCTCATACTGCTGCCTGGAAATCCCTATCATTAGCTGACAGGTCTGCAAGCACAGTTCTGGAGACGCTTCATATGAATAATATGTAACACAGAGTTAAAACTGTTGAGCTGAATCTTAACCATCCAGGGAACTTACCCCATGTTCTGTATATAGTTGCCTCTCAGGATAAATATGTGTGTAAGAGATGGTCATGCTCAGGGGTAAATGTGGCTTGGGAGCTTTTATTAAGTGTTCAGGCCTGTGTCCAGATAAATAGCACCTTAGTGATTATTTGGTCTACATCATTGCGAGAGCTTATGGGATAGAAAATTCCTCCTGCCCTCTCCAACTGTTTGCTGCCTATAAATATCATTGCACAGGACTCAGACCCAGTACTTTAAAGAATATAGAGGATGAAAATAAAGAGAAAAATGGCTTGTGTCTATCATTTCAATCTCCTTGCAAGTTTTGTACACATTTAATGAGCATTACATCCAGACTAAAATGAAAGCATGATAAACTTGCTCTCAAAAATATATTGCAATATACAGAGCAACTTTTTTTTAATCAGCATTGTTTCCCTTCTGTCAAATATTGTAAATAAATGGAACCTTCTTTTGATGGCATATATTGTGATAAATCAAAGCATGGACTCATGAATTAAGATTAAGTGCTAGGGTCTTCAGACACTTGCCAGCCTGCAAAAATAAGAATAAGATGGCGACATTTCCACTCTTTATTAATATCTCCAAGTGAATCTCTCCGTAATATTCTTTGTTTAAAGAAAACAGCCTCCCATCACTTAGCAGCCTCAATGCTAAGCTCTCAGCAAGGAGAGAAAATGATGGTTTGGGCTTTAATTTTGTGAACAAGACCTGAAGCTTAATCTTTTCATTCTCGTGTAAAGAATGAACATGGCATTGATATTTCACTCATCCAGGCTGTTAGAATTTGCAATTCACATCATAACTCTGTGCTTAAATTAAAGAAGCTTTTCAAAACATCGTGACATCTGCAGCATTTAAATTCTGTTTTATTCTTTGTCCCAAAGCAGGCAGTTGTATAGTTCAGGATTAATAAGTCACTGGGAGTCTTTCAGGATCATAGCAGTTGTATAGAATGTTAAATTTAATATAGGCAGATGCATTAAGGAAAACTTACGCAAACCATTTTTTACTGTTAATTTTGTTGTGCTTGAAGCATAATTTATTCATCCCTTCTGTCACTGATAATTATTGGAATTATGTACTTTAGGAGGCTAATCCATACCCAAAAAGCACACATATAAATACTGTTCTGAATTTGCAAGTTAATGTAGGGAAAGAAGGCTTCAGAAATATACAAAATCCTATGGCTTGTTTAGTAAGAAAACAGTTGTAACCAAAATTGCCACTGGTCTGAATGTAATTAAGCCAGGTCACAAATCTTTGTGCTGTTAATGGATTTTCCAAGAGTTGCATATATCAATCCTATACAGTTCCTGCCATAATTCCTTAAATTTATCAATATGGAGTCAGGGGCAGGTAAACCCAGGCAGTCTGACTCTCACCTGCATTTTTCTATCTTGAATCACCAAGGAGTCTTTACAAGAGACATTTAGGTAGTTCATCATTTTTCAAGGAAAGACATCTTTTAATGTCAAATTAACGTTTATTTCCAATATGTGAAACCTAAAATTAATTTTGTATTCCATGTAATCTAAGGTTGCTTCCCAAAGCCAACATATTCTTTCTTTTACAGGAAAATAATAATAAAGGATTAACAAGTTTTGTTTAAACTTTCAAATTCAGAGGCTTTATTTCAGTAGCCCATCCTGCCTCTAGGTTCCTAGTAATGGTCTCATGTAAACATTTCTCTTTTATCTCCAAAATTTGATTTTGCAATAAAGTTCTTCATCCATAATTCACCATTTTATCACAAATACAATATTCTTGAAACATCTTACCACATCAGTATAGAACATGAGCCTAATTGTATTAGCTATTTTTCAGTGTACAATTTACAATTGTTTTTCATTTGAGTGTTGTTTTTAAAAGAAAAGAAAATGTTTAGTCATTTAAATAGTCTTAATTTCCTTTAAACCACAGTATGGTTTTCTTGTCTATGTTATACTCATGTTTCAGTTTTGCCATGCAGTTTTATATAAAGTTTGGCTAATACCACCAAAATAACTATGGCTTCACAATACTGGTGTGAAATTGTGTCAAGAAGAAAGTGTTTTAATTACAATATATGTCACACACTGAGGACCTCGTAGTGGTGTAAAGATAAAAAGTAGAATGCAAAAATACATGTCTAGATCATATATTGCTGTCATTCAGAGATGTGTCAGTCACTCTCCTTTAGAATTCATTCTTGTGAGTCATCAGATTTTAAAAGTACCTGAAAACCTTACTTAGTATACTCTGGGTACACTGTTTTGTGGCCTTGTACCCTTTGAAGTAAGATTAATTGATACTTTCTGAAAAGTTTGTTTGCCTCAGCCCTCTTCTTTGTACACACACTCCCTTGATCAAACCATTGATACTTTAGATGTTTCTTATCAACAGAATTGATTGTCCATAAGCACTGTTCTCAGTCATGGAAAGGCTGAGTTTTGTATTTAGGAGGTCAGAGCTCCAACACAAAATAGAGACTAACGCAAAATATCCAGAGCAACAAAGGGGCACACAATTGAAAAAGACATTTTCTTTATGTATTAATATGTTAATTAAATGGGAACAAAGATTTTATATGAAATGAGTTTATATTACATTTCCATTATACTAGTAAGTTAGCATGAAAGTTTGCCGTTAAAATAAAGTGTTACCTCTTTTATTACTAACTCTGATTTGCTTATATATACCAGAAATTTTTTTATTAAATATTTTATTATTTATTTTTCTCTGTTTTGATTAGTTTCATATCAAGTCTGAATACTATATTATTTGGGAGAATCCAGAACTACATATTAATTTTTGCAAAAGAAAATACTCTGATTAAGAAAGTCAAGATTTCATGCACCAGGATTACCTACTTGAAGGAGATATGGTACAGTCTTAGAGTCCCATAAAATTCTCCTTTAAAAAATAATGTTATAATACAGAAGATGTATAAACTATGTATCTTAGTCATAATTTAAGGAAATATTTATTACCCCTTGAAAACCATCCTACTGCCTCATAAGGATTCAAAGATTAAATTCTGAATTGTTAAGTGTAGACATTAAGACTCGCTTAGCTGCCTAATAAGAGCTGAGATTCTTGGGTGGTAGAAAGTCCTGCTGTACTAAATTCCTAGTCACTTTAAACTGCAGAGAAGTAACGAGCATAGGTTTCAGTGTGCCTGTTAATAAGGAGCTGAGCAGGCATCCACAAAGCCAGAGGAGGAAAGAACCAGTGATTTTAAGGCAAGATGATAGAGCCCCTGCAGAGAGTGTGGAATAATTAAAGTGGGATGAAGACTTGAACAATGTCACTAGAAAGCCTGAGAACAGTGCCACCAGGCCAGATCCTTTCCTATAGAAGATTAAAAAGATATTGGAGCCAAAAGAAGCAAAAAAGAGGTCACATGCCAGTGTGTGGGCCTTAGTGGGAGCAAACCACACACCTCTCCCTTGCACTTCGAGCATTTTATACCCCTGGCTCAGAGATGGTGCTGTGCTGGATGACACTTATATTCATTGTCCGGCCAACTAATGAGTTTGGTCATTTGTGTTTAGGCTTTTAAAAGAGACTACTCAAAGTCTCTTTACATTTGCATTAGTTCTAGTTACTATTTCTTAAACTAAGGTCACTGATTGTTCATACCTTACTAGAAATCTCTGGTTGTGATGGGACTCACCCTGGGCTAGTCTCCTAAATGAGAGCACACTTAGATTAGCCCTGTTTCTCCTTTGACTAATATTAACTAATTGGCTCCTAGAGTTAACCCCAGAGGGACTTTACTGTGATGAGCTGTTCTCTGGGGAAACATGGAATTCAGCAGGAAAGTAGGAAAACACCAATTAAATAGCCATGGTTCCTTGTCTTTATACTAGTACCATTTGAGGGAAAGGAATTGGAAACATCTTAAAGCCAGTCAAAGTGCAGCATGGCTAAGGTTAGACATGGAAGGCAGAGAAAGAGACATCCGACAAGGAAGGCTGAAGGACATGAAGGGCAAGAACACAGTACCAACGCAGAGTGACCCAAGGGCTAACCTTCCAACAAAGAAATGCGGTGTCAGTCAGGAAAAGCTAATCCTCAAAGGGGGTTTTGAGGAGCTTCCTGCTGCATGTTATTAAATATTACATGCCTCTCAAGTCTCTACAACATTTCTTAGAGGACGTTGAATTGGATATTGATTTGATTTTCTTTACGCTCCCTCTAATCTCAGGAGGTAGCCACTGTTGAATGAGAATTACCCTGCTCGGTCTTTCTGTAAGGCTGCCAACATGGCAGTGGTTCAGCCCACCCCCTAAGCCGTAGGACAGCCAGCATCGGAGGAAAATGGCTGTGCAAGCTCCTACGTTTTATTTTATTAAAGAAAAGATATCTTGCAGGTGTCTGTGCTTGCAACATGAAGACAGATATAGCTTCCCTCCTTGCCAGCAAGCTTGTACGAGCCCCAAAACAAGAATATTTAGGACTTACTTTAAAAAGATTCAAATCTTGAATTTCTAAACTATCCTCCCAAACTTTACCATTGAGGCTAGCAGTTAACTAATTGAGTGTTCTACAAAGTAATAAAATGTTCTAAGTGATAGTAATGACCCTGGTAGCAGAATTTTGTAATACATCTTCCCTCAGCTTTATTCATTCAGGAAGCTTTTCTTGGAGATCTGCCATGTCAGGTGCAGGGAACCAGGTTGGGTGTTAGTTTTTCTGTTCTTTGTTTTTGTGTTTTTTACTCCTGGTTAGTATTTGCTTTTCTCATGTTCAGATTCTTAATCCTTACTTTACCAAAACAGAAAAACCTTTATCATTAGCTTTTATCAGAAAATGTCATAATTGGCCTAGGCCAACGAGCTTCTCCTCAGGTGCTCAGGAGGCCCCTGCCCTGTAGGGAGCTCCCAGGCTTCCATTTACTGAGGCCAGCTGCACATCCACCATGTGAGAGGCTGTGGTAGAGGCAGCTGAGAATGCAAACAAGGCCTAGTTGAAATCTTTTGGCGGAGACAGGACGATTAAGTGGCAGATGTGTTTGATAAGTGGCACTATCAATAGAGGCTCTTGGGAGATTTCCCAGGATAGAAAGACCACTGTGAGGCAGTGTGTCCAGGGAAGCAGCCTGTTGACTTAGCTGAGTAAGCTCATTAGGTTACCTACCTCCAAAGAAATATTAAAACACTACCTTAAACCCCTCGACATCTTCAGTTTTTCCATTCCACTCTTCTATGCCAATATTTTTTGTGTTTCCTTCACACTCCTTTTGTCAGTACATGTCTAAAAGTATTTCAGCTGTGCAAATTAAAGAGTTTTTCTGTAACTTCAGAAAAGAGGATAGCAAATATGAAGCCTTAAGTTCAAAATAAACCAATCTACCTAGATATGTAGACTCAGTACCCCCATTGTGTTAAACCATCAGCTCTACCTACAGTTCTCGCAAAGCAGTCCCTTTCCTAAAAAGCCAAACGTCATACCTTTCTCCTATTTGCTAAGAACGTCTTTAATTTCAGGAAAGCACATTCTAGATGCTATCCAAAACAGATTTTAAAATGACATCCTAAGAAACCACATTTCAACCATCAAAGCAGACAACAGAAACCACGTCATCCCTATGTGTTCAAACACCCTTGCAAAAACTATAACCATCTAGGCAATTCATCTGGTCACAGGTGATAAAACACTTTGAAAGCATAGGTCAGATGTCAATGGGAAATATCAGTGTTTTGAACAACACAAGATAAGTGTAAGATGGCCATAAAAAAAGAAATCCCAATTTCCACATTGGAGCAGGAAAAGTCTGAGTATGAAAAGTGAAGTGTATGCGTCCAAATTATTACTAATATTTTCTTTATGTAGCTCTTGTCAAATTGTACAACCTGGAGTCTTCTTTTGAGTTTCCTGAACAATCTTTATGAAACAAAAAACTAAATTTTTCCCCTGCCTCACAATGGGGGCCTCAATTTCTGAGTACCCTGGATTCAGAATCGTAAGAGCTGAAAGGGAATCTGGACTCCATTATTACTAAGATCCCAGGCAAAAGGACCATCCTGGCAGTCTTTGCCAGCTCACTAATCTCTGCTTTTGTTAATTTTTGAACATGAAATGGGGGGGGGGGGGGGGCAAAATACCCTATTATGTGGGAATTTTCCTTTTATAAATAATTTGACTTGGTGCACATAAACATGCCTGCCTGCTCCTAAGATATGCCAGACTGTTGTTAGCAAATGCAGAGGGCATGGTGCCCAGAGCCATGCTTAATATGACTGTGAATGGTTTCTCCTAACCCAAAGTACAGCAGTTCTTATGTTTAGACTATAGGATGCTGTGGAGACCCTCCCCTGCCAGTCTGAATTGCTTTGCTTCAGCTGCAAGCAGAAGACCAATTCCAACAGAAGTGAACTTTACCATAATTCCTCCTTAAATGCTAGGCCTTTCACACTTACAATGTACAGAAAATATACATGTTTTAATGGAATTTACTATTTTGGCTTTCGTGTCAAAGAGATTGGTTCTACAAGGTTCGCCTGATTCCCCACGATAAGTTTATTTTATAATCCTATGATTGTAAATCCAATCCCAGGTATAGGTTCTGAGCATCACATCAAAATCAAAGATACAAGGGAATGGGGACGGGGGAAGGCTTGGTTATTCCAAATTCATGACCAAAGTGTCCAAAAATATGAAACTGCCTGTCACTTGAACATTTCACTTCACTGTGTGCAATGGCGGTACCCGGTACCATCCTGTGACATAATCAGTCTCTCTGTGGATCATTGGCCAGGAGCACACTTTTCACAGACCATTTCTATTCATCGTTTTCCCACACAGAGCATTGAGATTTCTCACTGAAACAGCTTTGTCAGTCAGACATCTATAGATTTTATATTTATGCTTAAATATATTAAATTAGATGGCCTAATTAATCAACGTGAATATAGTGGGAGTTGGTGATGGTGTGAATTCTGCTGACTTTGTGTTATGGTTTTCTTTATGTGTGTTTTTCTTGGTTTGGTCTGGTCAGTACCCTAAAAGATTGGAACTCTCTGAAGTCATAGCCATACAATCACATAAGATTAGGACAAACCAGATAAAGGCAGGGGAATAAAATCAAGTTGTCAAAGTCCCAAGAACAGCCCCTACTTCTTCAGGAACCCAAGCAAATTGAAAGCGAAGATAAGATGTACAAATGGTGCCCATGCCATTTGACTGCGCAGCCCGCTCACCTAAGGCACTGCCATCATCCTGGCACAGGCCCACAGTGAGTGGTTCTAGAAATGTGATTGTCTGGTTGCTTCCTCTTCCCTTTGATAGAAGATGGGTTTGGGATGATGGAGTGGGAGGGGCCTGCCCTCTGCCCTCCATGGTGTAGAAGTACCATCTGCAAGGATCATTTTGAGCAAAGCATCCCTGTGGTTTACAAAGTTTCCTTTTAGTGCCAATGTTGTCAGGTTAAAGCACCTTTAAATCTTTCTCATTGTTTTAAAATAATGTATTTGTGAAGTGGATAAAAGAAACACTGGAAATAGGGTGCTTCTTATAAAAAGTTCACGTGTAAAACATACAAACAAGGCCTTTGGTGAGTTTATCTGGCTTTGTAAACAAGTCTGAAAATGAATGAGAGCTAAATGTATAAAGCAGTTAGTCGTCTGTCTTTTACCATGTTTAACTCAGATCTGTATTTAACACTTATTTATTTGTTAGTTTTTACATTCAGAAGAAAGAAACACATTTTGAACTTTGGCTAACATTGTAGCATGCTTTTAAGTTGTTTACTACTTTTTTAAAAACATGATTTCATCATTTTTGTAAACTTAGACCATTTTTAAATAGCCTCTTTTTCTCTTCCAATTACCACTCATAGGGTTGCAGAACCTTTTTTTACTGTATTCTTATAATAAATGTAAAATATTTGTAGCAAACTGTGCCTTGTCTTACTTAATCTTTCCATCGTATTTATATTTCTCTTCCTATTCTGTGTAAATATGTTCTAAGTAGAAGAAAAGGAAGGAGAAATTTCCATGGTAACTGGCCTCCTAGGGATGTAACAGTGCAAAAAAATTATTAGCCTTCACTTTCTCTGTAATTAAGCTTATGAGTTCTGATGATAATGGGTGTGTGTTGCTTATAGTCCAATTGATGCGGGGTCGGTGAGCCAAGGAGTCAAAAGAAAGATTTCTTAAGATCTGGCAGTAGTGCTCTTTTATTTAGAGAATAGAATAGCATGGGGACAGGGCCCATGGGCAGGCAGAGCTGGTGCGTGGGGACAGGACCCACGGGCAGTCAGAGCTGCTGCTGCTGCTGCCCCAAGTTGAGGGTTAGAGCTAAATTTAAGGCATAGGTATGTGAGTTATCTCTTTACAAGACAAAGGAAAGAATATGAAAAAAAGTTAAAATGGTATCAGTGCGGGTGGGGTCTGGTCATTGGGTGATCCCATGACTTTTAGACAAGAATCAAATCGGATTAAGTAAAGGTTAGAAAAGTTAGAAGCCACCACCCTAAATCAGTTACATGAGATTGCCAGACAGCAACCAACTTAAGTTCTTGCCTTCCCCATTAAGAGTTTCTGGGGACAAGGTCATCTCTCTTCTTCTTCTTGGTACAGAGAGGGAGGCACCTTTTACAGATAGAGATTTACCTTACAAATGTAAATGTGTCCCAACAAGGGCAAGTTCCATTCCCCAGAGCCTCCCTCCCTGTCCCAGTTTATTCAAAGCAATCAGCCCAAAACAATCCCGATGCCAAAGAGACATATCCTGGGGTGGCCAATTTCAGGTCCCTACAAGGTCATCCCCTCTTCCTTCACAAATGCAAATATCTCTCAAAGAGCAAGCAAATTCCAGTCCTCAGAGCCTGCTTCTCATCTTCAGTTTTTTAAAATTAACCAGCCTGAAATCCTCATCACAATCACTGCTTCCTCTGTTTAGAAATCAAAACTGAAATGTAGTTTGAGTCCCATTTCTCTGTGCCGGTTGGCTGTTTGCCAGGGTTTTTGGTGGTGGCTGTTTCATAACAGGATTTGTTTAGATGTAACAGAGGATTTAGGGGAGAAAGGTGGCTGAGAGGGATGTTTGGGAAGAGAAGCCAAAGGCGGCTGCTGCTGCACAGCAGTTCCGGGCATGCGACTTCGCCTGGCACTTCCTTGGGCCCAAGTTGGTCCCAGAGCCAAGACACTGGGCTTCTATTTGCCCGTCAGTCAGCAAATCAGTAAGCTTTCTAAAAGGCATGCTGTTATTTACACGGGTTTCCCTCCATTAAACCAAGCCCTGTCTTCATCTCTGATCTTGGATTAAAAGAGTCAGCCACCCACCTCTCGAACCACACGTTTCCTGTTTGTGGGACAGCCCTCAGGCTTCTTAGGACGGGCAAAACCGATCTTTACAACCCTCCTCAGCCTCCCTGCTCCTGCAGCACTCTGACGGGAGCTGTGTGTTCCTAGGCCCTTGGTGAATTCCTTTTCACCGTAGCCCTTAATTGTCTGTCTGGGGTTGCATCCTCATCGCTAGCAGGTTTGATTTCGTTCTCAGCATCCCAGACAACCTGTGCTTTTACTGACTTCAATTAATTAGGACCAGTGGCATCCATCACCAAGGAAAGTTGGCTATCTGACTAAAATTCCATTCCCCAGGATGGATGAACAGCATCTGAAATTCCCTGGAGTTCTCGTGGTATTTCAAGTCCTGCACTTCACTGTACAACCACCTCGACCTAGTGATTTCTTCAGGGAGACGGTGGCGAAGTTGCTTGCAAAAAGATATGGATGGAAGAACTGGTTTCTATTAAAAGCGTTAATGGTTTCTCCTCCAGTTAAAAGTTGAGTCTAAATGAAGTGCTTTTTCAAACTCCTCAAATCTGATACAACTGGACTGACCAACACACCACACTTAGGGCAAACTCGTGATTACAGCTGAGTAAGGCTGTTGGCGCTGCTTCCAAAGGTATCTGGTGTCGAAACAAGCACCCAGCTAGGAGCTGGGAATCCCAGGTTCTCATCTCTGGTTGGACTCTCACTAATTTAAACTTGAGCAAGCCAATCACTATTTAGGCCACAGTTTCCTCACTTGTAAAATAGATTGGGCTAAAAAGTTACCTAGTATTAAAGCTTTTCTTTTCTCCTTCTCTCCTTCCCTACCCTTTTTTTTTTTTTCTTCCCATCAACCACTCCACCTTCCTAAAAGTGTCCTGATTTCCTCCGGGGGAATTTCCTCTTCAGTATTTGGTGTGGTCCTGATAGTGCCTGCCAACTATAAAAGCCAAAAGATCTATATCCTTCTTTATTTACCAGTTGGATCCTTTCTCCCAGGACTGAGTCTTGAAGGACAGAGAGAACAGCCAGAGGGCATTCTTCCCAGGAGAATGTTGCTGTAACTCCTGCTCCCTAGCCCTCCAGAGCACCCTTAGTTTCTTTCCATTCCCAAGCCTCGTTCTCTAGCCTCCTGTTGACCGTGGAGCCTCCTGATGGCCTTCCAGCTAACTCCCTTTAGCCAAGTTATCTGTAGTCCAGTTCTGTTGCCTGCAGCCAAGGATCCTGGCTGATACAGTGATCTCTACAGTGAGGCCCCTTCCAGCTTTGAGATTCTGTGATCTCCCAAGCCTTCTCAGGGTCACTTTAGGATCCCTGAACACCATGTTACACTGGATGGGTTCTGTTCCTTTGCTTTTTACAGTGTAGTTGTCAGAATTCAAAAGTGAGGAGAAAAAGGAAAAAATCTCTAAAGGTTCAGTCATCTAATGTGCTGCTGATTATCCAAACTAAGCCTTGTAAAGTTTCCCCAGCTCGGGACCTAGTTAATTCAAAATTATAAATGTTTCTTTTGTAGTCTCCCTGTGGTGACAATGGCACCATAGGACAGTTAAATGATAAGGTCAATGGACCAGAACATTGTGAGAGGCTAATTGATCTATCACAGCAATATAAATGCCAAGGATTAATAGAAAAATAACTGTCACAGGAAGCTGAGGTATTGACAACCTTAGAAGCTATTCTCTTTGGCCTCCCCCTCCCACCTGTCAGTAGGGCTTGGTCTTATTCCATATTCAGGAGGATCTTCTCCTTCCTGCAAACACACACACCCCCCCCAAATGTTTCCTTCTAGAGCTGGGTAAAAGCCAATGAAT